TATTAAAACCAAATTTCAACTATTATTTTCACTAACATTTTAAATCTCTACTTTTTCAATCTACCAAATTCAAACACACATCACTACACATATCCACATTTTTACCACAATTATTTACTATATATCTATATATATATATATATATATATATATATATATATATATATATATATATAAAAGAAAATGCAGGGTGTTACAAAATGATCTCTATAGACTGTCAAAATTCCAAAGATACAATTGTTATATATATATAGGTAAATATATATAGTTATTTACTAATAGTGATATATTAATTAGTAAAACATCATTTGCATGAATTTTCATAAACATTAAATACATATATACATATATATATAAGTATATATATAGTATACATAAAGTACAATAGTACTTTCTAAATTGAGATTGGTGGAAAAATAAAAATTTTCACTTTCCTCCAAAACATTTGAAGTATGTGAGTTAGAGGGCAAAGACATGAATACCATATTGGTTCTTGGAAGTTTTTCATGAATTCATCTTTATTTATAAATAGAGGAAAAACTCCATTCTCCACTCAAAGTCTCAAGGAATCCTCTTAAAGAGGTCTACATAATGAGAACTTCAAGTTATAATTATAATTATATATATATATATATATATATATATATATATATATATATATATATATATATATATATATATATATATATAGAAGAAGAAAAAATAAAAGGAGGGAGGCAACATTCGAATGCTAAAACAATGCTTTGAATGTGCTTTACCCCTAGTACTTTTTCAGAATCTCAATTTTTGACAGAAACTAAGATACTGGGACTTTAGTTCGTTCAAACGCGATCTACGTTTGAACGTGACTTGCTCCCAGTACTTTTGCAGAAATTTCAGAATCGAGATACTGAGAGTTGAGTATGTTCGAATGTAACAATCTTGTTCGAATGTGACAGATATTCTGTTTGAAATTAATCTCTAACGGCTATATTATTGCAACCCTTTCAAGGGGTGTCTTCTGCCATGGATTTGAAGGGTGACACTCCTTCATTAAGAGATGTGTATAACACTGTAAAAATGGTTCAAGTGCAAGAACAAAGTATCAACAATTTAATCTTTCTTCTTCTTCTTCTTGATTTAAAGCTTCTATATTTTTTGATTTTCTATTCAGGTTGAGTGTTAATTTCAAGATTACTAAGGAGTGCAGTCTTTAATAATCTTAAAGTTCGACATTGTATCATGGGGTAGAATTTTCAAGAGTCCATCTGCATTATAAGTGAAAAAATTACTATCTCGAAGATAACAAGTGTCGCGCCTTGCCTAGCGATCTATCTTCTTCGATTTTTGATTCTTTGCTTTTCTACTACTTGAAATTGTTTTACCACACTGTTTTATACAACAACCATCGCATTGTTTAAAATTCTATTAGCACCATATGGCCACAGTTATCGATTAATAGATCCAATGTCAACATAGTTTTACTTACTTATTGTATATAAAGATCAATAGGTGTATACTTTTTTCATGGGCTATAATACTATGGGAAATATATGTAAATATAACATTTATCATTTTACTCATTTTATTGGCTTAATTAATATTGGGAATATTTTTTTGTTTTACACTGTTTGTAGATCGCCATAACTTTAAGACACTGAACGAATTGTTTATTATTTTATTGGCACTTCCTTATCAGTATTTATCGTTTGTCATATGTAACATCAACATATTCTAGTTTTTTATCAATGCATTCACACATGAATACACACAAATGTACGCATTTTGCGTATGTATGTACGTATGTATGTATGTGTGTGTGTTTGTGTCTATATATATATATATATTCAACTTGTAGATTGCAGAAATTCAATGACATCTCTTATACTATTTGAAATTTCTCTATCAGTATTTGTTGGTCAATAATAAAAGAGGGTCTTTGCAGATCAAAAAGTTTATGACCTATTCCCTCTTTCTTACAATCCACAATTTTTCTTCAATTCCATATCTTTATTTTCTGAATTTCACTTTGAACATAGTTCACCATACATGAAAAAAAAATATAGAAACTGAGAATTTGAAAGTCGAAATAAAGATCATGTCACTCCATCGTATGGCTCTGAGAAGTCATCATGACCACAATCGTGAACCATGTTGACAAGTGAGAGAATTTTATTGCAGTTTCAATCCTCATTGACTTTGGTGGTTGTAATGAAAAAATCTATATTTTTTTTAATCTAAAAGCCCATTTATGGCAAATATTTATTAATAACAAAAAAACATAAAGAGGAGAGGGGAGGAGATAAACTTGCCCCTTTACATAATTGAAAAGAAAAGTAATTGAAGTTCTAATTGGTTTTTGCTAATGCCCCACATGTCTATAAAAGATCTCTATCTTGGTTCGTCACTGATTCAAATGCATGTGGAATACGACGAACACCACATATTTCATACTACTATCTTTTAATAAAATCAAAAAATAATCTAAAATGATTTATGTATAACACACGTTTGCAACTAGTTTTAGTGTGAGTGTGTGAGAAAGGGAGAGAGAGAGAGCGCAAAAAAGAGAAGGGGAGAGGGATAGGAAAAGAGAAAAGGGGGCTAACTGCCTTTTATATAAGATTGTAATTTTATCATTTGATTAACTATTTATTTCTTTGTTAAAAGATAGAGCGTACATGTGGGTGAGAGGAAGCAAAGGTGATAGAAAATTATAAAATTATTAAGGAGTTCCTATAAAAATTTACCCAAAAACTTTAAGCAATTCTTTGATTGTTCAAAAAACTCAAAACTATACATGGGTTTTAAAGCCAAAAATTTCAATTGCTAAGGTTACTTTAACTACCTTATTTAGACTAAAATAACTTTTATTTTTTGAGACATCTATAAATTTTTTAGGTAATTATAAATTAATAGTCATTTTGACCGTAACTTAAATGATTCTAATTTTATTCGAGACAACTATTTTTTAATCGAGATACACTTGAGAAGCTTTGATAACGTTATTTTCAAGTACTTTATGAGAAAAGAAATTTTACAAGTTTTGTTCTAAGTAGATATAAAAACATTTTTGACAGTAATATTTCAAAAAGGATGTATGTGCGTCTTGATTATCAACTAATACACTAGCACAAATATGTGTATTATTAAACACACAAATATGGAAAAGAAAAAATGAGAAGTATTAACAGTAATTTCTTTTACACAAAATAAAATCTATTTTTTTTTATGTTTTTTTAATTATGGGAAAAAATGTTCGTAAATTGGAGCTATTGGTGTTCAAAAGATTTATTTGGGTTTTCTAGATGGAATAAATTATTTCTATCCTATTTTTATTTTTTCCCCCTTGACATGGAAATGAAAGATAAGAAAGAAAATATTACTTTTTTACATTCTTTGAGTAAAATAGCAAAATTATTTTATTCTCATTTATAATTATTATTTCGCACAATTATAAAATATCAATCACTATATAAAAGAGATCATCATTAATAAGTTCCAGGAGTTGGGAATTTTGACATTACAAAGAAGTTATGAGTTTTATCAAGAACATCGTGGAATTAAAATATAGTCATTACCGTATTTGAGACACATTCGATTTTCCAAATCAATTAACATTCTCCTTTTCTCTCAGGAATAAAATAGATACACGGTTGTGCATGAAAAATATGTAATGGCTTAAGTGAGATAAAAGAGTTAAGTCACTCTTACCACTAAGTTCATGCACTTCCATCTTGATTTTGTCTCTTCCTTTCAGGATCTCCATCAAATTTTAAATTTCCATCTACATGGGACTTATCACATCTATCGTGCACCAATTAAGCCATTGTACTAATGTTTGTATCAATTGAAACCTCTAACATCACAACATGACTCAATATGGACCTTCATCCAATTTTGTTAAAATAAGTAACATAAAGTGGGTGCATGTGAATCACACATGACTTGAGTGAGGGGCATAGTTGAAAAATAAATCCCACTCTCTTGGTCAATCCATAGCTCCTTTCTCCCCCAGCTCCCCATGTGTTCTCTCGCTCCACAAGGCCCTCCTATCTCCATCCATGCCCCTCAAGCATCCCTTCAAGAACACCCATGTCCGTCTGTGGATGACAAGTAGAGATCAATGACGAAAAAAATGCATGTGCATGTTTGGATCTGTAGAGACTAATGGAGGAGGAAGAGACATGATTGCATCGATGGATGGATGGATCGGGCGGGGGTGGCTTGTGTTCTTGGGTTCAGGTTGGATAATTGATGTATTTCTAGATTGGTGTGACATGCCGTTCACTCTAGTCACATGTAATCAATGTGCATCCCTTTCTGTCATCAATTTTTTTGGAATTGCACATGAAAATTGTTACAATTATTAAATAATTTTTTAAATTTGGTACATCAAATCACTATGGATAGTTAGATTAATACCGCCAATTGACTCTCATTAGACATTCAATACATATGATTTATTATTTGGCATACTAGATTTGATAAACACAAGACACACTGAAGCAAATTGTAGAATGAGTAGTTTAAGAACTTAATTATAACAGAAGCTATAATTCGGGGGATAAACATGTTTTTTACTTTTTTTGACTAGTAAAATTTGAAATTGCGAATCCGGATCGACAAAATCTCGACAACACCGTCTCAATTGCAAATACGAACCCAACCACTTCGCGTTGGAACCTTCACTCGTCCCCCCACCACCCACCACCCACACCCACACCCACACCCAAAAACAACATGTTCTTTTAAAAAACTACTACTTGTAGTTTGTATAGCGTGTTGACCACTCCGACACCTCTCCACCGGAAAATTCTTCCCCTCCGTCTACACCCTTCCTTGATCCCCCGAATTTCTCTCTCTCTCTCTCTCTCTCTCTCCTCTTCTAAATTCTCCGTATCCCCTGTTTCTATCTCCCCAGATTGAGAAGTCACAATTTTATTTTACGCTTCCTCAATCTAGTCCTCGATGATGAAGCGAGGTATGCGATCTAACTATGCTTCAATTCTGCTGCGTATCAACCATTAACAACCGCAGCGAAACGAACCTTCAATAACTCCCAACAATGCCGCCACCAACACCACCACCAAGCACCCCAAAGTACAATACCAATCATCAAGATCCAAATCACAGCCAAAAAAACGCGACGGTGGCCGTCGCCGAAACGTTGTCACGGCCTCCGTCGATAAGAGAGGCGGCACAATTGATATGCGGTGGAGATCATAGAGAGGTGAAGATAAACGATATTGTAGGGAATGGAATATCGGGGATTTTGTATAAGTGGGTGAATTATGGCAAGGGTTGGAGGCCCAGGTGGTTTGTGTTGCAATATGGTGTACTTTCGTACTATAAGATACATGGCCCCGATAAGATTGTGGTCAGCCTAGAGACCGAGAAAGGGAGCAGAGTAATTGGTGAGGAGTCGTTGAAAAGGATTTCCAGATGTAAGAATGCGAGCTCCCAGGTCCGCCGTAAGCCTTTTGGTGAAGTTCATCTTAAGGTCTGACCAAAGTTATTTCTCTGCATGTATGTGTGTGCATAAACATATGAATTTATTTGGATTTTGTTAATGTGGTTTGATTTTGGCTTGCATTACTCATTAAGTTTGATCACTATATTTATCCGTATCAAAAGCTTGAATATCTCGCCTTTATCAATTTTTTGAGAGTCTATTTAGGTACCCATACCAAAAAAAATTATTATTTCCTCTGTTTTGGGATCATAATGATTTGGTTTATATTTTGATAAATAATTTTGAGTTCTTCTTTTTCCAATTAAAAGTGAAAACATTTAGCACCCTTGTTTAAATGCGATCTTAAGTTGGCCACATTGCAATTGTTTATTTACTTGATTTAGATTCATTTCAGGCTTTGTTTAAATGGTCTTTACATTTTTGGTGTTTGGTTTGCAATTGATATCTTTCTTCTTCCTTAAATTATGCATTTGAACAATTCGTTAGGAAAGTGAAATTTAATGTGTCATATATCCTAGGTTTCATCAATCCGTGAGAGTAGTTCCGATGATAAACGATTTTCAATTTTTACGGGAACTAGGAGGCTGCATTTAAGGGCTGACACCCGGGAAGATAGAATGGCATGGATGGATGCATTGCAGGCTGCCAAGGACATGTTCCCTAGAATGTCTAACAGTGAATTAATGGCTCCCTTGGACAATGTTGCTATGTCAACAGAAAATCTGCGGCAGCGATTGTTGGAAGAGGGTGTGAGTGAGGCAGCCATCCAGGGCAGCGAGCAGATCATGAGAAATGAGTTTGCAGCACTGCAGAATCAACTGATGCTGCTTAAGCAAAAACATTGGCTCCTTATTGACACGCTGCGTCATTTAGAGGTACATGTTACGATAAGCAGAAATCATTATGCTAATGGAATTGAAAATTCTTCTTCAGTGTCTTCTCCAATCTCCCCAAATTAACTGCTGTGCAGCTGGGGTTCGTTGGATGGTTGTAAAATTTCTGTTTTTTTCTTATTTAAGTCTCACATTCTTCTGTATAGCTTGTTGGATTGGGATGGGGTTTTCGGATCATTTCTGTATTCCTAACTTGTTTTCGAGAGTTATTGGATGAACCAAACTGCTGTGCAGCTGGGTTCGTTGGATGGTTGTAAAATTTCTGTTTTTTCTTATTTAAGTCTCGCATTCTTCTGTATAGCTTGTTGGATTGAGAGGGAGTTTTCAGATCACTTCTGTATTCCTAACTTGTTTTCAAGAGTTATTGGATGAACCAAAATGAGTGTCAATTGAAATAAAGGGAATTTGTGTAAAAGTGGGTTCATGTGATATTGCTGTGATCTGGTTTTATCTTCAAACTGACGCTTTTCCATGACATATATCTCTTTATTGGTGTGCCTTTTAATCAATTTCTTCATGCTCTTCATGTGGAGGTCTAATGTGCTTACAGTGGTTCTTCCTGGTTTTCATTTAGGCAGTTGATGTCTTGGGATTTTCTTCTGCAGTATCTCTAGTTCTGATAATGGCATTGTAGTGAAGCAAACACTTTAGATTCTTAAATTCTCATCTTGATATGTTTTTTTTTCTTGATGTCATATGCCAATTTAGTGGTCATAAAGTTATAGCACATTCAAGACATCATATGTACTGGGTGAACTGCTTACTAAAGGTTTTCTTTTCTACTGTATGCATGCATCTGTGTGTATCAGCTACATGATTCATTCGTATGCGAACATTGTTAAGCTTTGCAACTTGAGCTTGAATTTTTGCGTAGAGCAAGTGGTAGATAATGTGCAGTTTCGTATCTTCATATCTTAATAATGATGTCTTGGCCCCAAATCTAGAGTGGAAAATTTTTTAGAGTAGGAATTTTTATTAGATATCAGTTTTTAGTTGGTGTTGAGAAAAGTAAGATGTATCCAAAACTTTATTTCTGAATCTTGAGTTGTTGATTGTCTGGAAGGCCAGCAGAGAGAAGACTAAACAGCCCTCTACCAAGCCTAAAGCAATTTTTTCTGTTTTCTAGACCTAAACC